CCCCCCCCCCCCCCCCTTCCCAAAAAAATAAAATAATAAAAATAAAAATAATAAAATAAGAACCTAAATAAAACGGAACGTCTGCACAAGAGTTAATAATTGTCTTTTTAACACAGCTATAACTGAACTGCTTCAACCACATGTAACAAAGCTATCCATCGCTTGCAGATTACATAAGTTCAAAAATATATTGTACACCACACCCGTTTACTGGCAAAGTAAATGTACTACAGTAAACATTTTCGGCCGAATTTCCTATGTATTTGCACACTTTGTATTTCGGAAATACATGTACAATTTTTATCATTACTAATATCATATCTTATCTTATATGTGTAAACACATTGACATATTAGAACATTAATAATATAAAAATAGATGAAAAACAAACATTATTTACATAAACCTTTAGGATCCATAAATAAAAATGAAATGTAAGAAGAAACGGTTATCTAAACATCGAGTAGGCTGTAATGGCATGGAATGATCCGCCTCCCTGACCCCAGACCGTTTGCTGATTACTCACACGATAGAGCTGGCGACCTCGCTATACAATAGACCTGATGCTACCATGTACAATGTATGTGTGGTAGGTTCATCCTTTACGATACAGGGTAACTTAGACTCTGACGGTGGGTATTTGAGTCCCTGGAGTTATCTCTTTCGAGTAGTGGCACGTTTCTTAATTTACACACTTTAATCGTTTTATTAATTTGAAATAAACCAGCACCTCACTGATTTTTGGAATTCATAGTATTAAGGGGTTTTACGCATCCCTTCTGTTTCAACAGTACAAATGTCGTTTAGACCCATTTGGATTTCGGACTTTTCTGTCCCTAGCATCACCGATGAGTCCTAGACGTGCGAACGAGCTGTCGTGCTGTACATAAAAATGTATTATCTTAATTGTAAAGGTGCAGACCCATGTGTGTGTCTCAGGTTCATCTGACACATCCACGCAAGATACAGTGCTATTTCACTGAAAAACCATGCCGAAGGCACCCAGCACAGCATTCCGCCCGGTCACATCCGTGATTTGTTATATTTTTTTTAACCATAATATTTAGTAACAGCAAATGATTTAAAGTTAACAATCAAAGATCATCATGGTTCTCATAATGTTCTGATCTTGTTTACGTAAATTTTTAACAGCATTTGGTATTTATTTTTCTCTTTTACAGCTTCTTTATACACAAAGGCAAATTTGATATTGGTCTGTTGGTGAACGGAATCCTTGGAGCTCTAGTGAGCATTACAGGTGAGTTTGAGTGAGCGGCGTTGTTACATTTTCGGAAGCTCTAGTGAGCATACCAGGTGAGTTTGAGTGAGCAGCGCTGTTACATTTTTGTGAGCTCTAGCGAGCATACAAGGTGAGTTTAAGTGAGCGGCGCGGTTACATTTTTGGAAGCACAAGTGAGCATATCAGGCGAGTTTGAGTGAGAAGCGCTGTTACATTTTTGGAAGCACTAGTGAGCATATCAGGCGAGTTTGAGTGAGAAGCGCTGTAACATTTTTGGAAGCACTTGTGAGCATATCAGGTGAGTTTGAGTGAGCAGCGCTGTTACAGTTTTGGGAGTTCTAGTGAGCATATCAGGTGAGTTTGAGTGAGCGGTTCTGATTACATTTTTCGGAGCTTTTATACATCAAGAAACAGTTTTACATATTTCGCAGACAACAGTTCTCGATACATGACGAAACAAATTGGGGGATGATTTTGTTGTTGTTGTTGTTTGTGTGTTATGTGTAAAACTAATAATTCATTCATAGAAAGGATGAAAACTTGTTCAGGATCATGTGGATATGCAAAACGGAAAACAGTCCTTTGGTGTTACATATTTGATCCAGCTCAATACATGTGTAAAATTATTCCGGAAACGACACAGGTTGGGTTTATAGAGTTCAACATTTAGGATCCCCGTAATAGTGCCAAAAGCTGTATCATTCCTTTGGAAACATTTTTTTCGGCATGACTATACATTTGATAAAACATATCTGAAAACGAAAATGATACCTTGCGGTCATGAAGATGAAATACAGTAATCAACTGTAAGTGTTCGCCAGATCACGACCTAAACCCCTGACTCCAAGCATTATATTGTCTTTCTTACCAAATGAGCTACTGGTTCAGCAGTTATATCCAAAACAAAATTAAGGGGAGCTGAAGTGGAGTTTTTTTGCCTGTTGTGGGACTGTACTGGGACAGGGGTTCCTTTTAACAACGTGTTCAACACGTCGTATCGGTACTCAAAGCACAAATACTGCTGTCCACTTAACTGAATATCAATGTCATACATATTTAGTTAACAGTATTTTTTCTTTAATTATTTCACGAAATACACACAAAGGGGATTTACCTGTATAACATTTACATTGTTGCATGTGTTCCAGGTATATGTGCCGTTACAAAAACCTGGGTGGCTGTTGTCATTGGTGGCATTGGCGCATGCGTAACGGCCGGAGCGGAAGCTTTACTAGTCAAACTTAAGATAGACGACCCTGTAGGAGCGACAGCAGTCCATCTCGCTGGATCTCTCTGGGGAATGATCAGTTGTGGACTGTTCGCCACCAAAGACAACGTGGAAAGATCTTTTAGCTTCCATGATGGCCTCTTTTGGGTAAAAATATCTTGAAAAATATCTTGAAATTTGAATTTAACAATTTTTTGATTATTTGAAAACATTTGTTTCCAAGTATTTATCTGGAGTTCTACAAACCCTTATTTGTTTCTGAATATTTTCATTTGGATTCAATTTCCATGATTTTCTTACATAAACAAAGCCTTTAAATATTCGTATTTTTTTTTTTTAATCAGACTTGATTTATTTATTATATACTTTGCGTTATTCTTTTCTAGGTATCAGGTAATGTTAAAATAGGTGGAAATGAACGAGATGAATCGATATGAAATGACCATTTTCAGATTTCAAACCGCATATATTGATTCCTTTAAACAAATGTGTTATTGAAGAATAACTAACGGGTTATAAGTTAACTGTGTCACTAGCACCGAAACAGAAGGAAAGAAGAGGTACTTTTGGCCTGAATTAAAATGGGGCATACGTATATACATTACACTCGCTTAAAGGTAAACCCCAACTGAATTGTTTCCCTTATCGTGGTAAATAAATATGTAAGACCTTTTTGAACACCTTTTGATACTATTAGGAACTTTTTTACATACAGGAAATAGGTCGATATACGATAAAATATAGCATTTCCAGAGCTTTCAATAAACTGCTTATCAAGCTTAACGTTTTAGTTGTTTTTGATGCAAGATTCTTTTGTGACGTTTAATGGCAAACATGACCTTCTTGTGTAGAGGGGCAGTTATGACTGAACAAACAAACAATTAAAATAATCTGAGTTAGTTAGCAAATCCTTTTAATATCTGATTTTTTTTTTAAATGCCAGATTTGAGTTATTTCATTCAAAAGAATAATTCTGTAAATGCTCTTATTTTAACTATTTCTAGGGTGGAGGCTGGTACCTACTCGGGGTCCAGCTGTTAGCCATTGTTGTCATCATGTTGTGGACGGTTGTGACATCTTCAATAATCCTAAAGGGCATTGACCTCACAATTGGACTACGCATGACACTGGAGGAGGAACTCTACGGCGCCGATTATTTCGAACACAACGTTGAGCCAACGGATGACATCCGGGAACACGCCGAAAAGCTGTTACGTGAAATGACCCACGAAGAACGGACGAACCCAGCTTATGTTACGACAAGACCGATTTGGTGGTGGTGGAAGAAAAGAAGTGAGCGTGCCGCAACTCCAAAAAGTGAAGAGACAGACAGCGCGTTGGGAGACATGTCGGACGATTCCGTCATCAAATCTCCAAAGAAAAATCAGAATTCCGATCACGTGACAGAGGTCACGAACACTGGGAACGACATGGGGATGACTGACACTGATAATCCAGACAAAGGAAAGTCCAACGGTCACGTGATTGTTACCGGAAATGGCACACCACAAAAACATTCATTGAGCGGACATAGTCATACTAACAATGCTTTCTGGAACGATTCTGACGATTCTGACGATTCTGACGTCACAAACATGTAGGATTCCTTTATGAATGATCTCGACATATCTTGCGACAGATCCTTCTATAAAAAATCGTTTCACATCCTCTATTTGTATGCATCCATATGCAAGTGTCAACTGGAATATTACATGTACAGTACCTATGGCGCAATATTTCAAAAATAAATATCCAGTTAACGCATCGTTCAATATATATGCAAGACCACACACTTGTGTTTTTCTAACGAATCAGAAAGTACGAGTTTATTGCGCTGACGAATACTAACACTCGTGCGCTCGTGAATATACACAAGTGTGTGGTCTTGTTTTTATCACATACCTTCCGTATTTGGTAGAGATCGATACAAATATTTTATAAACTTTGATATTGTTTGCAAATACCGGGAACTGTTCAGTTCGCTATGACAAGGGTATTCCCATAAAAAGTAGTTCCGGCTAGAAGGTAAATACAACATTCCGTATTGCACATGTGCAATACAGAACGTTGTATTTCATGGTCTGAAAATTGCTTGTAATACTATAACAAGATTCAACAGGTAAATCATAAAATATCATTTCTATTTTCACTGATTACAAATTTTTCACGTGTTTGAAGTGAAGTTTTCCTTTATGAGTAAAAGCGTTCAATACGCTTGGGGTTTTCAAAATGACCCATGAATATTTTATGAATAATGACGTTTTTTTTGTGAGGGATAACTTCAGGAAGAGATTTAATTTAAGATACAGATTTTATAATTATTTCTGGCAAAAAAACCCACTACAAAACAAGAGGCCAAATGGGCCTGAATCGCTCACCTGGTATTAATCTCACACTTGTAATCTTAAAAGTGGACTAATATACAGCTACAGGAAAAATATCTGTGTTCGATTCATTTGAATCTATTAAATGATTTAAGCATACAGTATGACGCCTGTGACCTTGAAATTCGAACAAGGACATTAAGTTGAACAGAATTTATAGTCTTCCGTCCCAACATGCTTCTGGCTAAAAATCATTACCCTGGACCTTTTGATTATTCAGAACAAGTCATTTAAAGATTTAAACATATTTGATCCCTGTGACCTTGAATATGAGCGAAGGTCATTCATTTGAACAAACTTGGTAGCCCTTCATCCCAGCATCTAACTGGCAAAATATCGTAACCCTAGGCCTCTTGGTTATCGAGAAGAGGTTGTTTAAAGGTTTTAAAAATATTTGACCCCTATGACCTTGAAAATAGATGAAGGTCATTCATTGGAACAAACTTGGTAGCCCTTCATCACAGCATGCTACTGGCAAAATATCATTAGCCTATGCCTCTTTGACATTCAGAAGAAGTTGTTTAAAGGTTTTAAACATATTTGACACCTGTGACCTTGAAAATGAGTAAAGGTCATTCATTTGAACAAAATTGGTAGCCTTCGTCCATGCATGCTACAGGCCCAATATAAGTCCCCTGGGCCTTTTGATTATTGTGAAGAAGTCGTTTGAAGATTTTAAGACATCTGACCAAAGTGACCTTGAAAGTGGGTCAAGGTCATTAATTTGAACAAACTTGGTAGCCCTTCATCCCAGTATGCAACAGACCCAATTTCAGAACCCTGGACCTTTTGGTTATTGAGAAGAAGTCGTGTGAAGATTTTAAGACATCTGACCCAAGTGACCTTGAAAGTTGGTCAAGGTCATTAATTTGAGCAAACTTGGTAGCCCTTCATCCATGCATGCTGCAGGCCTAATATCAGTACCATGGACCTTTTGGTTACTGAGAAGTGTTTAGAAGATTTAAACACTTGACCCCTGTGACCTTGAAAGTGGGTCAAGGTCATTCACTTTAACAAACTTGGTAGCCCTTCATCCCAGTATGCAAAAGGCCCAATTTCAGTACCCTAGGCCTTTTGGTTATTGAGAAAAAGTCGTTTGAAGATTTTAACACATTTGACCCCTGTGACCTTGAAAGTGGGTCAAGGTTATTCATTTGAACAAACTTGGTAGCCCTTCATCCCAGCATGCTACAGGCCCAATATAAGTACCCTGGGCCTTTCGGTTGCTGAGAAGAAGTAGTTTTAATGGGCAGGTGTAACAAAAAAAAAAAAAAAAAAAAAAAAAAAAAATTCAATTCTTGTTTTTATTTACTTTTAAGACATGCTATTGCTGCTCAATATTTTTTAATATCCTTAAATGTCGATGCTCAAATAAGAATTCTGTGATCAGGATCAGATTTTCCCTTTGAACTATATCGTTTATTTTAACTTTATCATTTATAGTATTCCGCACATAGTGAAGAGATAATCGAATTGAAAATATTGAACAGGACCAAATGGCTGAATCATATTATTTTCAGTTTAGGAAATTTAAGGAAAGATTAATTTTTCGGAGCCACATTTTCTGACATTTTTGCATATTAGAAACCTGAAATTCTTGCAGATTGTTTTTCAATTCATCCCCCAAAAAAAAATCAAAAACATTCCCGAACCATCTTAGTTGAGCGTATCAGGAAATAATGGAATATCATTAACGTATTTACTGATACATGTATCAGATATCGTGTCAGAACACCACCTTCTAGATCTGTTTCCTTGTATCACATTGCGGAAAATAAGATGTGTTTCTCATCACAGTTGAATCTGAATTTATTCATCCTGGATACTTCAGGGGTTACGCTCACTTTCGCTCTATGCACCCTTGAAATATTTCATATCAAAATTAAAGACTCTGTGTGCGCCACCCTTGTTGATGAGACAGGCAGACAAGTTCAATCCTTTGAAGTACATCAAAAAGAATATCGCGGTCGCGTAACATTAAAAAAAATGACAGGCTTTGAAGTAGGGTGTCACCCCTTTATAATCTTTAAAGGACAGGTATCAGACTGGCGATTAGTCAGTCCTTTTTACCCGAGACCAATCAAACAGCTATTTTCGTGCCTTCAATTTTGCTATGTTATATTCCAGGGGTGTAGAGAGGGAAGTGAGCGTAACCCAAGGGGTATCGAGGAAGTATTGAATCCGGACTGAAAAATCACATTAATATGCCTTTCGGTCTTTTTGTTAAACGAAGGTATATACTAGTTTTTAACTATTGTACATATTTTGATTAAACAATTTGTTTTCATTGTTTTGACATGTTTATACTTTATCTTATTTAAATGCCTCATTTTTGTGCAACTGTAAAGTTATACATATTGTTTGATACCAGTGCCATTGCATATATGCTTTCAGTTTAAAATACTTTATTGTATAAATATACAAATGGATTGGAAATCAAGTTATTACATCTTATTGAAGTCCTCTCCTCAATACATAGTAAAAATTAATCAAATATGTATATGGGTTGTTTTTAGNGGGGGGGGGATAGAGGGGGGATGCTACCTAGAAAAAAAATCGTGTAAACTGTGAAATGGATCCTCATTTGAATAAGTTATGAATCATACATATTTCATGACATGCAGTCTTGTAGAATAATTTCAAAATGAACAGAATCAATGTAACAAAGAAATCAGGCAAAATAATGAAATGCGATTTCATAAATACATAAAACAACGTACACATATAAAGAAAAATAGAAAAAATAAAAACTATTGCTGAATTTGATGTAATGATGCACATGTCTAAAAATGTTGATATTGTTTCCTACCGAAAGTTGACTATATTCAAACAAAAGTAGTTCTAAACTGAAATCAACATGCAAGGCATTCAAATTTTAGAGCAAGATGCTTCTTTTGTTGTTACAAAGTAAGCAATCACAAACAAAATGAAAGGCATTTTCACAGGGATGGCCACAATAACAAACTGGACTATCAACCAGATTTACTCTATAAAGATCATATTTAAGTTGACTACACTGATGTCTAAGTTTAGTGTGCAAAGTGTTCAATTTACGTTCACCTAAACCTAAGTAGATTAGTGGAGGAGATTGTACATTTGAAGTTAACGATTTTTTGAAAGAATGTAAAGAAGTCAATGATCGTACTGAAAGGTCCAATGAATTCCAACCGCGAAGAGTTGAAGGTATAAAAGATGAATTTGTTAGAGGAAGCCTGAAAGGAAGAATTCTATGATGATCATTATTTCTAAGGGTGTAACGGTTATTTTCTGCAACGGAAGATGGCAATAGAGAATTTAAATAGTCTGGAGTTAATTTGTTGTGCATTTTATACAAAAGTTGGACTTTTCTGCGTTTTCTTCTAATCGAAAGAGTTTCTAGAACAGTTCCAAAAGTAAGTCTTCAATTCGGGCATATGAAGGAAGTCCAGTTATAATACGAGAAGCTTCTCTTTGGCATTTCTCTAACATTTCTGTTTCATTAGTTGTACAACCATCCCACAATTCACAAGCATATTTTAAAACAGGTAAAATGAATGATTTATAAATCTTTGAAAGATTATCTCGATTTAATCAGTATTTTAGTCTACGTAAGATGTTGACTGTTTTCAAAACTGAAGCATATATTGCACAAATATACCCCCCCCCCCCCCCCCCATTTTGCACTAGTATTAAAAATTACGCCAAAATGTTTATGATGATCATTAAAATTTAAAAATTCGCCATTAAATTTTAATTGTAAATGTTAATCAATTTCAACCGAGTTTGAAACAAACATTACCTCAGTTTTTTCTGGATTGAATGTTACTAAACAAGTTTGGGACCATGCATTAAGAGACTCCCGAGATCTCTACTCATAACCGTTTGGGTTTCTAGACATGAAGAGGATGGTTTTAACAAAGAAGTATCGTCTGCAAATAGACGAGCGGTTGATTAAAATACATCAGCAATATCATTTATATATAGAAGAAACAAAAGAGGTCCAAGAATCGAACCCTGAGGAACACCTGCTTCAAAGAAACCTTCTTCAATGAATTATTAAAAAAGACTCTCTGGTGCCTCTGAATAGGTAATTTTCCAACCATTGATACAATTCCCCAGAAATTCCAAAGGTTTTTAACTTAATCATCAAACTCTTATGCCAAACCCGATCAAAAGTCTTAGAAATATCGCAAAATACCATACATACATGTTTTTTCCTCTAGAGCAATACGGATGTTATGATAAATTTCAATGAGCTGATATACAGTAGAATGACCAGGAAGAAACAAGACTGGTGCTTATGAGTTTTCAATAAAATAATTATGCAAGTATTTGAAAATTACTTTCTCAAACACTTTTCCAACTGTAGATAATGAAGAAATTGGCCTGTAATTAGAGGGAGAATGCCCTTTTTAAACAGTGGCATAACTTTGGCTGTTTTCCAAGAGTTTGGGTAAACACCAGACGATAAAGACATATTTAAATGATTTCAAGGGGTACACAAACTGTTGCTGTTGTTTCTTAGCATATGGTGACTGATTCCATCTTCACCCGAGGGCTTCAATATCTGTAAAATATCTCGTATTTCATTATTATTGACTCTAATGTACCTAAGACTCTTGTCAGTTTTTGGCTCGATGAAAGGAACCGCACTCCAGTATTTCTGTCACCTACACGATTTATATTGCAGAAATAGTCATTTAATAAGTTATCTTTGTCTTCGTCACTGGTAACCACATTATCAGAAACAGGATCTACAAGAGTAGGTATAGATTGTGTAGTACCAGACGATTGTATTAACCTTTTGATGAGTCTCCAATAAGCTTTTAGATCAGAGCACGAGTACTCTTCAATAATAGCATGCACATTTTCATGAAATATGCTGTCATGGCCGTCTCATAAAAAACATAGCAGAGCAATCAAACAACAGACCCAACATTTCTGTGAAATCATTTTGACTAAATTATTCTTTCCTTTCTACCTGAATTAGAAATTGAATATATATATAATTTTTGACAGTTGGCCATAGATAACATATCTGTACATAGATAACAAAACAAACAAACAAACAAAACAAGCTTTGACAAATACTGACAAAAACTTGATCTGTCAAAATCTATCATGGCTGTCTGTCAGCCTTCGTGTATTTACGATCAGTACTGAAATAACATTAGCACAAATATGGAGAAAGGGTAACCAGCAAATGAAATTTGAGAAATATCCTTTCAGTGAGTCTTGGGAAATAGCGACAATAAACTTTCTCGTATTTTCTAATCAGTCTTAAAATAAAACATGCAGGACCAAGGGAATTTTTTATGTAAAATTTGAGATAAATCCGTCCTGTACGTCTTGAATATAGCAGTAATAAGAATAATTTAAGAACCGACGACAGATGATTTGAATAGCCCGATATATGATGATGGTGAGCTGAACTTTCACACACTGGTCATCACAACAATCCATATAAATGTTTCACAAAATGATCGTGACGGCAACCTATATACATTTTACATATACACAGCGCTGTGCGTGTATTACGCGATTGCCGTTTACACCGCCTCGTTAACACATGGGCTAGTTTTGAGTACGAAAATCCCGGGGATTGTCTACTAGCCATCACTTATAAAACGGAATGTCAATTTACACTTACTTCTACCACGCAGTAAGCACATGGTACCAGAACTAGCTATATGTTTTAACGATAAAAGGATACTCCTTTTTGTACAGTGTTTAAGTCTTCTTTTTCTCCTCCGGTGACATATCCTGGAGCCATTTTAGAAGCTATTTGCTCAGTTTAATAACTTCCGGGATCAACGCTGAAGACTGATCTAACTGTGACACCCAACGCTGTTTGCATTAACGCCTCTCTTTCGATCAGGTTGCTGAAGCGCACAGTAACGTTCTTATTTCCCTTCCCGCCACCTTCCCACATGTGTCCTAAGTGGAGGATCATAATATGAACAATTTCTTTCGAAATATTGATTTAGATATTTCAACATAAAGTTTCTAACTTGGCGTATAGTCTCCCTTGCCTTTTCTTCCTCGTGTCCGGCGATGCTTTAAATAACAAGATACAATTTCAGTTCTCAGCTTTGGTCCTCAGTTATAGTTTTAGTCCTCCATGGGCCTCCCTGGTCATTTGTTTACTTAGGTTCGTCTGGGTTCAAAATCTGGTTAGCATGCTTGGCGGAGTTCTCCAACTTCAACCCGGTCAGCGTCCATGTCTTCTTTGATACCGGAACATTACCCTAAACTCTTTCCTTTTTTTCCATCTGTGAAATATCAATGAAATTCATCGGGACTTATCATCAAAGAATTCTAAAAGAGTGCCTTTGATTTATGTGTATGTCAGATGTCAGAAGAGATAATTGGTAATGAAGAACTGCATTTACCATCAGATCTTGGTTCATAAACCATATTTTGACAATATACGTTTGCACTACAGTATCGTTTACCATCCACGAAGCACAGGATCGGACACATGCGATGTGGTCTAACGTAATTGTACAGGTCGAGTCTGTCTAACGCAAAATGCACAAACAGCGTCCCTGTTCATGAACGTTTACTGGCACAACCCATTTGAGGCTATTTCAAATACGATTATATGAGGGACTGGGAGTAGCATTTCCAAAGATTGACCTCAACTATGTTCGTTTATGTGTACATTATCACCTTCGTTTTTGAACAGATCTCATCCTACGTTACAGAATCCGTACACTTCAAATGCTGTTTTTTCAGTGTCAGCAGCAATGAATACGAGCTCGTGTTTGGTTGGATGCACAGCCATTCCCCATGGCCTTTTTATGCTTGCGAGTCTAGGTATTAACTCCTTCCCCATGGACCCATCACGTGACACAAGGTAAACATATTCAAAGCGTGATCCGCATACATACACATTGTTGTCCCGATCAAGCCTAATATCTTCAGGATTTATTACATCAGGATCTTTGTATGTGAAAACCTCTTCTCCATTGTCCAGTCTCCGGCAAACTATGCCCCCAGAAAAATCGAAGTGGTAAAATGTGGCCATAGAGTTAGATACAGTTACGCATGGTGCATAGTAATTTCTCCTTACAGATTTTCTGACTTTTCCGTCCATTGTCAAAAGATCCACCTGATCAGCGGTACCAATTACGATGGTTTCTCCATAAACTGCTATACTGTGTGTTCCTTGTGGACAATGGATCTTGCTGATCACAGTCAGCTTACTGTTTTAAAATGTACACTTTAGTATTGAGTTCCTATCTATGGCTACAAATATCTCATGCGCAACACATCCCCGTGCGATGCATGTCGGTTTTCCATCAATCTGATAGTCCCCTCGGTAGAGATAAGTGTTATCAAACAAGAGGAGTCTTTTGTTGCTGTAATCAGTGATAAGCAATTCTCCGTTTTCTGTAAAGGTACTTCCTGTTAATATAGGTGTGGCTGACCCACCAAGTGAATGTCTCTTCACAGTTTGAACACAAGACAACGAGTCAGTCCACACATTCAACTTCTGACGCTTTAACGAATCCACGAGATCGGATTCTGAAGTAGAAAATGCTGCAACTGAAGGAATTGATAGCAATTTCGCTAGCAATGTGTTGATGCTCCTAAAAGCATTCTGTGACCTTGGTAATCTTGTCGATGTCATGTCGATATTTCCTTGTCAGTTTCATGATGTCGCCAATAACGGTTTCTATGTTGAGTGTAATGTCATAAGCTTCCGGTTGCTTCTTTGTGTTTTTATCCACACAGCGGAAATGTCCAGACAATTGACCTTTTGCTTTTTCTCTTGTAATGAATCTCTGCCTATCTGATCCAAGTTGATGAGACATCAATAAGGCTGTGTTTGTGGATTTTGTATGGAATGCCTCATTATGCTGTCTGCGAAAAGCCAGTTGTTGCCTAAACAGATCAAATTGTCTACTGCATTCAGTCTGACAGGTGGCGTGCATGCCATCAAGATGGTCTTTGGCGTGTTTAACATGTTTTGTCATATTGGCCGAAACTTCTTTTTCTTTCGAGTTTATTTTGGCGATCTCTGCATCGTCGTCCTCCAACATCTTTTCTGCTTCATCTCGAATCTCCTGCCATTCAGTTTCACGGGAACACTGCATAGTTTTTCTGACCACCTCTTCCATAGATTTTATGTTAGAACACGTTCTGTGTAACAATGACACGCAAACACTGCAGCACATCTCACTATGATCCAGACAGTACACATCTAACATCTTGTCAGTATGGGTTGGACAATTCTCGCTAATAGATATGTCGAAGAATCCACTAGCATCTCTGGCATCCGTAATTGGCAAAAGTTTATGTTCTGCTGATACTTTATTCCGTTTGTGGGAAACTCTGCACTGTTTACACAGAAACTCAGTACAATAAGTGCACCATACCTCGGCGGGACTGTTTTCCTCGTCCCGAAGACAAGCCGCACAGTCCTGAACATCTGCATTTTCAGCAGTGGGAGCAAGAGAGATGGGATTTATCGGAAAAGCTTTAGCCCAGGTATCAACGAACGGATTGGGGGTAATGGGGGCAGTCGGGCGATCACAGACAGGACAAGGAAAGAAAGGCCGGTCATCATCCCCTGCAACATGTTCTGCCTTTATGTATAACGTCAAGCACGTCGAGCAAAACGTGTGGAAACACGGAAGTTCCCTGAGCTGGTTGTAGTTCTGAGAACATAGCAGACACCTGAACGCTTGATTCGGATACGCTTCTGCCATCATGTGATGATTTATTGTAAGGAGGTTACCTGCAAGATATACAAATTTAAAAATCCAAATTAGGAATATTATTTTAATTGATTTGGAAGATATGTATTTTTATTTAATGTACTGGATGAAGTGACGTCTTATGTTGTAAAAATATCAATGTGTACAAGAAAGAAAATGATTAATCTATTATATATATAACACCATTATCCGAGTTTGATGAACAGTACTGTTAATGAGCTGATAATAGTAAGACAAAAAGGACATCTGACGGATGAATTATCATTTGAACAAATTTAATGGTATAGGCCTACAAATTTAATGGTATAGGCCTACAAATTTAATGGTATATGCCTACAAATTTAATGGAATAGGCCTACAAATTTAATGTTATAGGCCCACAAGTTTAATGTTATAGGCCTACACGTTTAATGTTATAGGCCTACACGTTTAATGGTGGATTTTGAAAATTAAAAAAATAACGTCTTTTGATAACGGATGGCTTCATTACATTATTGCAATTTAGGGTTAAGGTGATGAAATAGTATCTGTCTATCTAAATATTGAAATTTTATGACAAAATCGACCTCAATTTCACCTGAAATTGACATGAGAAATTTTGATGTCAATTTCATGTCAAATTCAGGTCAGTTTTTGCTATCATGGTAATGTTTTCAGGTCAATTTCATGTAAAATTCATGCCAATTCCAGGTTAATTTCTCACCTGAAATTGACCTTTCTTGCTACTTTTCAGTGATATACATACATATATATATTCAATGCGACTTCTGAAAAGACTTTTCCGATCGTCATTTCGTCTGATTAGAATCTTTCACACATGCACGGCAGTAATTACCGCCATGAACAATTAATACAACCAAATTGTCCATCAAAATATGTCTGTGAAAGAAACATATCTGCTGAATAAATAAAACGAAGACATTTGTAATTCATGTTTGAATATGTATTTGACATATAAATAAGAGGCCCAGAGGGCCTGTATCGCTCACCTGGAAATGTTAGCAAAATTGAAGTTGAAATAGTGTACATGTATTACATGGTTAGTCAGGGGTTGTATTTCTATGCAGTTGGACAAAATCCTGTCATTCCTAAAGCAAAAGGAGGATTTCAAAGAATTTGCTATGTTTCCCCTATTGGGTCCCGCCCCTCTGCCCCCAGGGTAGCAGACCCACATAGGTCCCCTTCGCCCAAGGATGCTTTGGACCAGATATGGACATAATCCTGTCATTCCTACAGAAAAAGAAGGATTTTAAAGCTATTTTTCTATATTCCCTATTTGGCCCTGCCTCTCTGACCCAAGGGGGGTCGACGTCACACCCACCATTTATACAACATTGGTTCCCCTTCACCAAAGGGTGCTTCATCCCAAATTTAATCAAAATCCTGTCATTCCAACAGAAGAAGGTTTTTTAAGAGTTTGATATGTTTCCCCTATTTGGCCCGCCCCTCAGGCCCCAGGGGGTTCAACCCCCACCATATATATACAGTTATGCGACTGCACAACGCACCACAAATAGTGTGTGCACACTGTGCATACATCGTGCACACATGGTGCGCACAACTGTGCGACAATTCATAGATCAATATTACGGAATGAAAAAAATATTGCAGTTATCTCACATCACAGTAATGAAGATTATGTACAGTTTTACAATGCGTGTAACGTTACACAGCATTACAGTGACGGTTACGCTGTCAAGAACGGGTTTATTCCAAGGTAACAGAACAGGTAAATAGCAACTTGATGATATGAGTGACCGGAGTTTTACCTGGCCTGTACCTGACACATAGAGCTGATATGCGACACCTTATGACCGTAATAAAAACACAACTGGACGTTTAGTATATATATATATATATATCTGTTATTTGCATTCGGTTTGCCTGTAGCTCCCCTTCCCCTGTGTTTTCACACCCCTGGCCCTACCCGACGTAATACGTAAGCGCCCCGGGCGGGGGAAAACTACGGTCAGGTACATGTAAAAAGTGGCAATGTTTACCTGTATACGGGACTGTGTTGTGATTTCACATGTTTCGATTAAGGTCGTTTAAAAAATACCGAAAACACAATTTCTAAATTCAAGAAGGTATAGACATAAAGATAAGCTTATAGATGTAGGTAGAATATAGAAACATAGGTAAAAATCAAGCTTATATGTTAAAACACGAAAACGTATATATTGTTAAGGCATTCCTCAATTTACACCAACCACGATTGTTATCGCACAACGTTCGTCCATCGTGCACAAAAATGTACGCAAGCAATGATCATGATCGTTCAACTTTTTATCGTTTTCACATCGTGTACACATCATGTGCACACCGCACATCGTGTAACGTTGTTCGATCCCACAACTGTACAAAATTGATTTCCCTTCCAAATAGGATGCTACTGTTCAAATATGGTCAAAATACCTTCATCCCAATCAGAGACGTATATAACTTTATACGTCTCTGTCCCAATGGAAGAAGAAGGATATTAAAGTTAATCCTCTATATCCCTTATTTGGCCCCACCGCTCTACCTCAAAGGGGGTCAGATACACCGTTTATGCAAACTGGTTCCCCTTCACCCAAAGGTGCTTCACCCCAAATTTAATAAAAATCCTGTCATTCCTACAGAAAAAGAGGGAATTTTGTTGCTATGTTTCTCCTATTGGGCCCCGCTTCTCAGGCCCCACGGGGTTCAAACCCACCATGTATACAAAATTAATTTCCCCTCCAAATAGGATGCTTCTGTTCAAATTTGGTTAAAATACCTTCATCCCAACGGAAGAAGAAGGATATTAAAGCTATTCCTCTATATCTCTTAAAGATGTTCAAGTATTTGCTATCTTCCCCCTATTCGGCTCGGCTCCTCTGCCCCCAGGGGCACACTCACTGTTTATACAAAATTAAGTCCATTTTGCCCAAGGATGCTCCAGACCAAATTGGGATGAAATCCCTTAATCCCTATGGTAGAAGAAGGATTTTAAAGATTTACCTGTATTTCCCCTATTTGGCCCTCGCCCTCTGCCCCCAGGGGGGCCACATCCATTGTTTCTACAAAATTTAGTCCTCTTGACCCAAGGATGCTCCAGACTAATATTAAGCATTGAACTGTAGCGCGCATTATCATTTGTTTGCTTGCAAAGCTGTGTGATTCAAATAGATTATAAATACCGTACAAAAACAGTTCAATACTTATATTTACGTTTTCTCTGCCTCTTATGTTCTTTTTTAACTTATAATTTATATTTAAAATTAAAAATGCCCGCCTAATCGACAGTCCACACAATTTCGTTCAATAGTTTGAACAGCGTATTGTCGCGCGCTGATTGGCAAACAAAGTAGTACTTTGAAATTTTAACAAACACTTCAATTTTATTCCACAATTAAGTATCAATACAATTGCGTATGATATGTATATAGGGTGATTTAAGTTTATCAATAGAACTCTGAGCTAAAAATTAGATTTTAAATTGTTTCGATTTTCCTCCGAAACAAATTTCGCGCATGGACAAATACAGTGAACACCGTAAATCCGAGCTTGCCCTCCACGAGGGAGTTATCTTTGGAAGTTTTTGCGAAGAATCCAGGCGTGAATTTATTTGTTGATTGTATGGGAACCTGACAACAGTCGGTAGATTCTATAACAGCCTCGTTATTTGACCTGTCGTCAGAATTAAACAGAGGAACCGTAGATGCGAGACGCGTGAAACTGATAGCGTTTGAAGTGAGTGATCTTGCGACGGAGCACAGGTTCGTTACAAATGTCTGAAATGTTTATGTGTGCTGTGACTCATATCATGTAGGTCTGTAACATCTGTGTCAGTAGGTCTATAGAATATGTGTTTTTCAGACATTTGTAACGAACCTCTGTTGACCAGTGGCAGTGCAGTGTAACACACGATATTTCTGATAAATTGAATGAGCGTTAAAATTGTTTCCATTGTCGGCATTGGTCATTTCAACCGATGTGCATTTTGTACGATATTGCAGACCTTGGTCTTGTTTCCGTTGTAATATAAGTGTTTTTAATTTAATTTTTTATTTTGCACATACATTTACAATGACATTGTTAAATCTCACAATGCCCAGCGATATTTCAGCAGCCGTCATGTTTATTTCTATTGGATATTGTAGTTCCGGTCAGTGTTGTATTAATACGCTAAGAATTGTGTCTCGTGATGCATGGTAATTAAAGTACCATCAACGACACAGCTTTCAAAGAGGCTATGTAGTGACAATGCCATCCAAATGTAAATATATTAGAATAAACTCCCTCTATCCCAGGTATGGTAGAAGAAGGTATTTAAAGTGTTTACCTCTATTTCTCCTATTGGGCGAGCACCTCTGCCCCCAGGAGGGCCAAACCTGCCATTCATACAAATTTAAATATATTTGCAAGCAAACAAATCATAATGCGCTAGCGCGCATTATGTTGTTTGCTTGCAAAGCTGTGTCATTCAAATATATCATAAATACCATACAAAAACAGTTCAATGCTTAATTGAGTCCCCTTGGCCTAAGGATGCTAATTAGAAGGATTTTAAAGGTTTTACCTCTATTTCCCCTATTGGGCTCCGCCCCTCTGGCCCCAGGGAGGCCACACCCACCGTTTATACAAAATTGAGTCCCCTTGGCCTAATGATGTTCCAGACCAAATTTAGTCAAACTCTACTTGACCGTTCAGGACTAGTAGTATTTTTAAGGAAAAGTTGACATAGGCTCACAATGGTCCTTTGGACCAGGTGAGCTAAAAATTACACATGCACAGCTGTAATTTTTATTTTAATGTAATTTATAGTTCCAAATAAAATTTTACTATTGATATCTATTTTAACACAGACATCACTAATAAGAGAAATATTTTATTTAGTAAGCAATAACTCTTTTAAAGCCAGATATCTATTTTTAATAGAATTAGTAAGGATATCTGTGGTGGTGGTATCTCAAATTTTAGAAATCCCATATTTCAAATGAAGACCTGGGTTTGATCGGAATAATAAT